TGCAGGTGTCCTGCCGTTTCACTGCACTGCATCTGTATCTTTGGGGTAAATCCCCAGCAGCCCAGCATCATTTATTGAAGAGACTGTTTTTCCCTATTGTATATTCTATATCATCACCTCCTTTGTTGTAGATTATTATCTTTTTTTAAAAAGATTTCATTTATTTATTCATGAGGGACACAGAGAGGCAGAGACATAGGCAGAGGGAGAAGCAGGTTCCCTGTGGGGAGCCCAATGTGGGACTTGATCTCAGGACCCCAGGGTCATGACTGAAGGCAGACGCTCAACCACTGAGCTACCCAGGCGACGCTTTTGTTGTAGATTAATTGAGCATATAAGTGTGGGTTTACTTCTGGGCTCTCCATTCTGTTCCATGACTTCTCTACTTCAAATCTTCCTTTTGACTGCCCCCACCAATAGTTGATGACAGCAGATAACTTCTGTGGGGCGGAATGCATGTACACACCTGGTCAGGCGGCTACAGCTCTTGGAGGGAGGGTGTGCAACAGCTTTGGCAGCATGTTTTCAAATTAGCCAAGCACAAATACTCTCACAAAGACTCACCTGGACATTCTGTCTTCAGGCTAATAGAGAACAGGTGGGGCTGTCTTCTCCTTATAGGAGGGCAGTACTAAAGGATAAATGCTGTGGGAGTGGGTGACTGAAGACAAAAAGGAATATACGACTTCTTTTTACTTTCTCTTTCTCGTTTTTATTTATTCTCTATTATCCACACTCCCATTCCTCTCCAAACCCTGCCACATAGACATCTCTTTGAATGTGTTTAACCTACATCTTTTTACTTAGGTGAGTTCTTGTAAGATGTGTATTTGGTATGTATGTGCATGCATTTTTAACTTATGTGAATAGTGGTTGGGTTTTTTGTTTTGTTTTGTTGTTTTAAAGATTTTTTTAAAGCAACCTCTACACCCAACATGGAGCTCAGACTCACTATACCCTGAGATCAAGAGTTGCATAGTCCTCCAACTGAGCCAGACAGGCACTATTTTGTTATATGGTTTAGTTCTTTCTGCCCAGTGCTATGTGCTGGAGATCATCAGTATTGCTCTGTGTATATCTAACTCACTGATCTAACTGCTGAAAGGCTATAGAGTGCATTCTTCACTATTTCCCTGTGCACTTCCCTGTGATGGGCACCCAGAATGCCTCCAACTCCCTACCATTGCAAACCACACCGTAATGAACATTCTCCTGCATTACCCTTTATGGATCTGTGTGAGAATTTCTTCAGAGTCCACGGGGGTAATGAATTTGACTGTGTACCGCCACATTCAGCAATGGGATGACTGCCAAAGTTTCTACAAGTGCATGGGGGGTCCCTATGCCCCTGCATTCCCACCACAGGATTTGGCACGATTCAACTTTTTAAAATGTTGAGGGACCTATGAGACCTTAAGTGAAATCTCATTGTAGTTTTGTCTTGTATTTCTCTGATAACTAATGCATTTGAGCATCTTTTCTTCTGCCTATTAGCTTTTTTTTTGGATTTTAATTTCAGGAAACTGCTTGTTCATATCCTTTATAGACCTGTTTGTGGAGGCCCCTCCAGTGTTTTCCCTCTCTATGTGGGCTCCTTTCATTATCCTGATCCCATGGGAAGGCTGGATCCTAACCAAGGCTTCTGTGTGGTGCCCTTGTATTTTCATACAAATTTTAGGATCAGCTTGTCAAATTCTGAAAAAAAAAAAAAGCCTGCTGAGATTTTTATAGGTATTATGTTGAATCTGTAGAGCTGTTAGAAGGAATCGACATGTTAGCAATACTGAGTTTTCCAATGAGTGAACAAGGTATTCCTTTCCATTCATTTTGTTCTTTGTTCTTTCTCTTAGCAATACAGGTGTACATGTCTTTCACAGATTTTGTCAAATTTATTCCTAATTCACATTTTTAGATATGAATTTTAAACTGGAACTGGAATTTTAAAAATCTGGAATTTTAAAAATCCTTATGTCTAGTTGTTCATTGCTATATACATTTGGTATAATAATTGTTTTATGTATATTGATCTTGTATCTTGCAGCTTGCTGGATTCATTTATTAGTTCTAGAAGGGCTTTTTGTTGCTATTTGGTAGATACAATTGGATTTTCTACACAGATGATCATTTCATCTTTAAATACAGTTTTACTTCCTCCATTTCAATCTGGGTGCCTTTTATTTCTTTTGCTTGCCTCATTGCACTGGTGAGAAGCTCCAGTACAATGTTGACTAGAAGTAGTGAGAATGGACACCCCTGTGTTATTTTTGATCTTGGGGGAAAAAACATTCAGTCTTTCATTACTAAATATGATGTTAGCTGTGGGGTTTTTTAGATGCCCTGTATCAGGTGGAAGAAGCTCCTTTTCAGTCTTAGTTGGCCAAGTGGTTCTTTTCTTTTTTAATCAGAAATGGATATTGGGATTTGTCAAATGCTTTTCTGCATTATTGCAATGATCATATGGGTTTTTCTTGTCTTGGTTTATTGACATGGTGAATTGCACTGATTTTCCAATGTTAAACCCACCCTGTATTCCTGAGATAAACCCCACTTGGTCATGATATCCTATCTTATTAATATACTGTTCAATTTTTAAAAAAGATTTTATTTATTTATTCATGAGAGACACAGAGAGAGAGGGACAGGGACACAGGCAGAGGGAGAACCAGGCTCCATGCAGGGAGCCCGACAAGGGACTCAATCCCGGGACTCCAGGATCATGCCCTGGGCTGAAGGCAGGCACTAAACTCCTGAGCCACCCAGACTGCCCTATACTGTTCAATTAAAAATTGTAAATGAAGTTCGATTTGCCAACATGTAGTATATAATGTTCAATTTGATTTGATAAAGTGTTAATTAAAATTTTTGCATCTCTTGAGGTACCTAAGTGGCCCCGTCAGTTGAGCATCTGACTCTTTTTTTTTTTTTAAAGATTTTGTTTATTTATTCATGACAGACACATAGAGAGAGAGGCAGAGATACAGGCAGAGGGAGAAGCAGGCCCTATGCAGGGAGCCTGATGTGGGACTCGATCCCAGGTCTCCAGGATCACGCCCTGGGCTGAATGCAGGTGCTAAACCGCTGAGCCACCCAGGGGTCCCGAGCATCTGACTCTTGATTTCAGTTCAGGTCATGATCTTAGGGTCGTGGGATCAGACCCCATGTCAGGCTGGGTGTGGATCCTGCTCGAGATTCTCTCTCGCTCGTTCTTTCTCTCTCTCTCAAAAAAAACCCCATTTTTTTGCATCTCTTGAACTTTCACTTTTGATACTGTTTCTTCAAATTTGCCTCACCACCAAGTACTTATCTTCAGTATGAACCCCTCGTCCCGTCCAAATCCTCCAGATCGTGTCTGGGATGGTTACTAAGTCTGAGACTTTTCCCAAACTCAGAGAGGGTCCCAGAAAATTTAAGACAGAGACTGAAAGCATTTCTGATTGGCATGTCCTACCTCTGGAAGCATGAATCAAATCCTGGCAGCAGCCTTGCCCCTCAACAGATGCAGGTAAGCCTCTCAGTACCTGACAGGTTTGTTCTGAAAAGAAAAGCATTATTAAATGCTTAAGAAATCCCTTGCCCTGAAATAATGCCTCACTGTTACTGTTCCCCCACTTGGTATTGCTCTGCACTAAGGAAACAGCCAATATAGGTCATCTTCTCAAGAGGGGTCCACCCTTAAATACACTACTTCCTGTCTTCCCACTGAGGAATCCTATCCCATTCTACCTAATGAATTTGATATCCCACACCCTCAGGTGCCCAAAACACTGCTTCAAATTCCTGACTTTGTGGTTTTTGTGAATGACCTTTGTCTCCAAGACACTGGGAGAACACACAGGACAGGATACACTCTCTGCTTTTCTCATTGCACTAAAGAAATTCTACTTCGGGATGCCTGGGGTGGCTCAGCGGTTAAGTGTCTGCCTTCGGCTCAGGGTGTGATCCTGGAGTCCCAGGATTGAGTTCCACATCGGGCTCCCTGCATGGAGCCTGCTTCTTCTTCTGCCTATGTCTCTGCCTCTCTCTCTGTGTGACTCTCATGAATAAATAATAAAATCTTTAAAAAAGAAAAAAGAAATTCTACTCCCTTCAAGCGCAAAAGTAATGATGGTAATAATAGCAAACACATAGAGAGCTGGACTTGGACTCACTGTGTGTCAGACAATATTCTAAATTAACTCATTTAATACCCTCAACCCCCCTACGAAATAAGTACTGTTATTACCCTCATTTTTACAGGTGAAACTACAAAAAAGAAGTCCCCTGCCCCCCCTATGAAATGACAGATCTGGAATTTGATTCCAGGCAGTCTGCGCCAGAATCCACTGCACTACTAAGGTCTCGAGTGACAGAAGTATGGCACTGTTCTGTACTTGCACACTAGGAGAGGGGCCCCTTCCCACCCCCACTATTTATACAAACTCTAAGACTTCAGAATATATCGTGTCTTTGGGATCTCTGGTGCCTCAGGTCAAATCTGACATCAGTGAGTTTCCCCCTGCTGCTGACACCCAAATATACATATTTGGAAACAAAGACTTGGACTGAAGACTGAGGATTTAATGTCCTCAGAGTGACATGAAAAAATACTGCATTCATGAAGCAAGATCAGGAAGCTCTAAAAAGAAAGGTTCATCCCCTCGGTATTCTCAGGCCCTAGAACATGGCCTCTCAACAAATATTCACCGGAACATTTATCAGATGATCAAAATTATCAGGAACAAAACAGGACTACCTGATACTACCATAATATTCAACCTTGTCTTGGAAGCTTATAAAGGAATAGTAGGGCAAAAAAATGAGGTGACTGGTATAACACTAGAAAAGCAGAGATTAAAAAACCTATTTGTTGCTGATATTATTTTATGCCCAGGAAGCCCAAAAGGTTCTGATGAGAAAAATGCATTAAAATGAATATACTCATGAGGTGGCTTATAAGTTAAATGTATAGAAGTCAATAACCATTATCTATTTTAATAATTTCCTAGAAAAGCAATGGGGGAACTTTTTCCATTCATAAATAAAGGAACATATAGAGAATGACAACAAAAAGCTTTTAGCATCAAGCAATAATCAAAGAAGGATCTTCAAAGCATCCAGAGAAAAAGGACACCTACAAAAAAAAAAAAAAGATCAATCAGAGAACAGCAGACTTCTCAACAGCAATAATGGAAATCAGAAGACAATGTCATAATACCTTCTTAGGGTTTAGAGGGAAAAATATAATTTAGAATTGAGTACTCAGCAAACCTATCTTTCAAGAAGAATAAAAAAATAAAGGCATTTACACATTTACAGATAAATACAGTTTGAGACAGTTTACTGTGAAGAGATTTGCACTAAAGGATCTTCTAAATTATATATTTCAAGAAGATGGAAAATCATCCCAAAAAAGGAAGACTAAGGTATAAAAAGGAAGCTGAGCAAATAAAATAGTAAACAAGTATTCAAATGTAAACAAGCACTGTGTGCATAAAATAATATTATTAACGTCTATTCTTTCAGTATGTTAATAGCTTCCTTAGGAAAGAAAGCACTAAAATAGTGAACAACAATAACATGTAAATTGGGAGACAGTGTTTCATGACGTCCTTGTATTGTTTGGGTGGGAGATTACAATACTGTTTAACTGATTTTAGATTAAATACATATGGTAAAATTTTAAGACAAACCACTAAAAAATCTTTGGAAGGACCAATCAAGGAAAAAGAGAAAAGGCACAAATAAGTAATGTGAACAATGTAAAAGATATGGCAGAAATAAAAAAAAATAAGAGAATACAATTAATGTTATAACTTAGATGAATTGGACCAATTTCCAGGAAAGTTCATTTATTTATTGGATGAGCCCACTCTACCCTTAACCAGACAAATACAGTAAGTGACCAAAGATGCGAAAATCCTAAACAATTTATTAGCAAACCAAATCCAGGGTGAGTAAAATAAATAAATAAATAAATAAATAAATAAATAAATAAATAAATAAATAAATAAAATAAAAAAGATTTACTCAAACATGACAGTGTTGGGTCTAATTCCAGAAATGCAAGACCAGTTTATCATTAGAGAGTCCCATTAACAAAGTGTCCCCGTGACTCTGAGGGAGAAGCTCAGTCCTCTTTGTCAGCCCTAGGGAGAGGGGTAGCTGAGAAGGGGACAGGTTTCCTGGGGAGGGGGTCTCTGAAGAGGACAGGCTGGGGAGGGGCCTGGAGCCTGTGAAAACATATTATACACTGCTATAATAATATATACACATGGCAACTCTGAAGTAGAGGCACTAACCTCCTTTTGAAAATGTAAAAAGTAAGGCTAAATGAGGTTAGAAAACTTGACCAAGGTCACAATGCTACTAAGTAGTCGAGCAGCAATCCAAATAGAGGTTGATCTGGATCTATGGCTCACGTTCTCCACCACTATGCTGTTTTTCCTTTACTGTTGACTGTAGTAGACATTCAATAAATGGTGGCCATGTGCCAGGTACTTGACATATGTTCTAACAGCCACAAAAACTGTCCAAGGTAGGGGCACCTGGGTGGCTCAGTTGGTTAAGCATCTGACTCTATCTCAGGTCAGGTTTTGATATCAGGGTTATGAGTTCAAGGCCCGTGTTGGGCTCCCTGTTGGACATGGAGCCTACTTTAAAAAAAAAAAACTGTCCAAGGCATTAAACTCATTTTACTGATGAGAAAACTGATACTTGAGAGGATAAGTGTAAGGTCACACAATCAAGACGTGGGGGTTCCTGGCTTGGAAACTGGGCTTGCCAGACTCCACAGCCCACTTGTCCTAGATTGTTACAAGATGTGAATGAAACCCAAGTGGAGATGAATCTCAATGTTTGAAGTCAAGATAGGCAGGCCCTCTTCACTCCTTGAGAGATGAGGGTCTCTACATCACAGTTAGTGTCAGGAGTGAGAAAAACTCTCCACAGAGATCTCTCTACCCATAGAGCTGAGGGAGACCCTAATCTCCAGGAGAGTAAGAATGACTCCAAATCCAGGGAGGTCTAAAGGAAGCAGGTCACATCAGCAGTATGGTCTAGATATGGAAGCCAGGGACATTGGAAACTAGTATGGACAAGCTCATGGGAAGTCATGTCTAACCAACTTTACATTACTTTTCTGAAGAGTTTGAACACAGTATGTCAGGAGGGCCACAAACTCCTCATATCCGGGTTTTAGTGTTAGAGTATCTTAGATGATCTCATGGACAGGTGAACAGTAAGTGTAGTTAGGCAGGTTAGTGCATATCATGTTGCTTCCTATCTTTGAGCCTTTGCCCATGCTGTACCATTTGCCTGGACTGCCCTCCTCTCCTCTTGTTAGTCATCCAGTAGATTATTACTCATCTCTTTAAAGCTCAGTTCATATGCCATCCCTTCTAAGAAATCTTCCCTGGTCCCCTGACCTGGGTCCTATATTCCTCAGAGACTCTCACGTCTATTGTACCCACTATTACTGCACTGGCCACACTGAATTATGGTTCTGTGTCTGGGGACATATCCTGTTCATTTCTGGGTCCTCAGTGTAGAGCAGGAGACCTGACATGTAGTAGGTGGTCAGTTGATTTTGCTCAATTAGACTTATAACTAGTTGGATGGTTACATTGGTAGTGACTAATGAATTCATGTTGGCCTGGAGAGGGAAATCTCCAGTGGCATGCTACAGGGCCTTGTGTATACTGATAGCATTCTGATGAAATCAGTGGGTGACCAAACAAAACTAAGGGAGTATATTACATATTAGACAACAGAATTAGTATCCCAACAGTCATGGGCAAGTAGATACACTGGAGCCACATTGGTCCAAGGACCAACGAGTTTAGGGGAAAAGTCAGGACTGAAACCTCACAACCTATTGCAACCTTGACAATGGAAGAAAAGGAGTTTTGGAGCTGAAACTTAGCTCCCCATGTTGTCCAGCATTATAACAGTACTTACTATGTTCCAGGCTTTGTACCAGCCTCTGTACCACCACCACTTCCAGCCCAGTAACAGAAAAAGTCTAATGGGGGTGATTGGCTTGACCTGGGACCAAGAAACAGTTCCTCACAGAGCAGGGAGGGGGGATCAGACGGCTCAGTGAGAGCTGGGGTTTTGGTTTTCACCAAGTAATAGGCAGGCATGACAGTGCAGTGGTTTGAGGGCTGTTTGAGAAAGGGGTCCACCTTCAGGGCCCTCAGGGCAGAGAGCCAGTCATAGAGAACATGGGTCTTTGTCACCACCCTACCAACCAGGAGCTTGCTTCTCCAAAGAACCCAGGAGCTATCCTTACTGCTTCTTCACAAGCCTCACCCTTCCAAACAATGACATCCATGCTCCTTAGCATGGTATGAAAGGCCTTCATGTCTAGCCTCATTCTCAATGCATTTCCCAATCATCCACATTAATGATTTAATTAGTTAATTAATTCATTCTATTCCATAAATATTTATTGAATGTCTACTAAATATTACTATGCACTGTTCTTCTTGGCACTGGGGATACAGTTGTGAACAAAACAAAGTCCCTGCTTTGTGGAGCTTACAGTCTACTGGGAAACAACAAACACCAATCACAATAAATAAATACAAAATATATCAGGGAGTGATATCACTTCGTACAAAAACATAAGACATCAAGTAGGATAATGGGGTTAGAAAACACTGGTGAATGGGACTAGTTTGGTCAGGGAATGCTTCTCCAGGGAGGTGACATTTGAGCATACGGGAAGTGGGTGGGAAACTCATGAGATTATCTGGAAAGAAAGAGTGTTGCAGGCAGTGAGAACAGCAAGTACAAAAGCTCTGAAGGGGGAGGGCACCTGACATGTTTGAGGAATATCAAGGAAGCTGGGGTGGCTGGAAAAAAGTGAGAAATGGGAAGAGTAACAGGATAGGAGGTCAGAAAAAGCATGGGGACCAGACTGTGCAGGCTTTTGGGCCATGATGAGGGCTTTGACTTTTATTCCGGGGGAGCTGGGAGCCAGGGAGAATTTCGAGCAGAAAAGAGACATGAACTGATAGAGATTTTAAAAGGAATTTCAAAGAATTAGTAATACTAAGCAAAATAAAAAAAGATGATTACTAGGAAAACAAAAAGGCATACAACAAAGGATCTATAATTAGAGTGTAATGTGTGGTTTAGACATGAACAATAATTATAATGTCATACTTACGCAAACAATGATTATTGGTTGAACAAAATAGTATGAAATGTTTTTTTTAAATGAAAGATGCAACCACAAAGATGAGCAAGCAACAAGAGAGTATGAAGGATGACAAGGCAGATAGAAAGCGAAAAATATGCAGCTTGTAGACGTGAAAAATATACTTACTGAAATAAAAAACTCAGTAGTCAGATTAAGCAGACAGAGTTGACAGAGCTGAAGAGAGAATCTGTAAACTGAAAGATATATCTGAAGAAATTGCTTAGAATGAAATGTAGGAAGACAAGGAAATAGATAATATCAACAAGACATTATGAGATATGGAAGATACAATGAGGCTCAAAATATGACTAACTGGATTCTGAGAAAGAAAATATAGGAAGGATGGAAGAAAGGCAATATTTGAAAAGATAATGGCTGAGAATTTTCTAGAAATTATGAAAAACATGAATTCAAAAGCATGAAGCACATTTTTAAAGTAGAATAAAAAAGAAATACATGCTTAAACATGTTAGAATGAAACTGCATACCCCCTGCAGATCCCCCTCTGAGAGAGAGATAATTTCTTAAAAGTAGCTTAAGTATAAGAAAATAAAAACACCTACCAAAAATAGCCATTAGACAGCAGACTTCTAAATACCTATAACAAATTGGCTTTTAAGAATGAGGATAAAATAAATACATTTGCATATCACAACAACTGTGAGAATTTAACACCAAGAGACCTGTTCTAAAAGAACATCTAAACATTGTATTTATGATAAAAGAAAATGATCCCAGAATGATAGTCTGAGATGCAAGAATGTATGCATGTAAATCCAAAAAAAATACTGTCTATATAAAATAATACTAATGATGATGCAGAATCTGTGAGGTTAGAAAAAAAGGAACAAACTAACATACTCAAGACAATAGCATGTGGCAAAGAGAGGAATGATCAGAGATGAAGTTTCCTGCATTCTTCAAGA